TTTTCCTTATCATAATTATCATAATTGACGCCGTCGCCGAGTCTTTTTTTCTTTTTCTCCTTTTTTTTTTTTTTTTTTTTTTTTTTTTTTTTTTTTTTTTTTTTTTTTTTTTTTTTTTTTTGGAGTCCTCGGCTACGTATCTCTCTCTACTCTGATCTAGTGTGTACTCCAATTGTGGGATTTTCTCCCTTTTTCCCTTTTTTCCTGACTGCAAAACCCGATCTAAGGGCATATCCTCCTACTCTCCTACTCTCCTACTCTCCCACTCCCCTACTCCCCTACTCTCCTACTCTCCTACTCTCCCTTTTTTTTTTTTTTTTTTTCGTGAATCTACATCTTCCGAGTTTATCACGCCTAAAAGATTAATAAAGGGAAAGGAGAAAACAAAAAGGGTTTAGCACGACCGATTTCTTTTTCAACTTTTTTTTTCATTTTCAGCTTTTTTTTTCTGCTTCCATAAGAGACCTGCAGCTCAGGATGTTCTTCAGCAGCCAACAGCAGCCTTCCGGTTTCCCGCCGGGAGCTGCAGGTCTCTCATTACTCCTGACGCTCTATCAAGATAGGTGGTGGGGACCACCACCTGCGGATTGTTATACTGTCACTCCCTATCGATTGATTGATTGGTCGATTGGTTAATGGGTTGATGGGTTGATGGGTTGATTGATTGGTCGATCGATTGTTCTCGTTGATCTCCTGAGAGAGAAAGAGGTCAATTGATTGATGAGCTGATGGGTTGATTGTTTGGTCGATCGATTATTGTCGTTAACCTCCTCAGAAAGAAGGAGGTTAATCGATCGATTGATCGATTGATCGATGGAGTGATCGATTGATCGATTTGATTGTTTTGACTGATTCCGTTGATTGATGGGTTTTGATTGGATTGTCCATCGACTGTTTCTCGTTGATCTCCTCAGAGAGAAAGAGTTTGACAGGGAGGGAGAAAGGGAGACAACCAGAAAATGGCTTCAGCAAGGCCGCAGCGGGTGAAACCAGTTTGCTCGCCGTCATCGTCATCCTCCTGGCCACGTCAGCGGAAGAGAAGATGTGGTATCATTATCGGCGTCTTCTGTTGCACCCTCGTCGTCGCCGTGCACATTGTCATGGGTGGTCGTTTCCCTCATCTTGACTGGGAAACGAGCAGTAGGGGCGAAATGCCCTCTGCTCACCACCCGCTCCCAGAGAATGATCGAGGACCAGAAGAAGAAGGAGGAGGAGGAGGAGGAGGAGGAGGAGGAGGAGCTCTGCCTCCTGCACTGGACGGATTCGGTTTCTTGAAGACGTCAAGTGGTGCTCTGGGTCATCTCTTCTTTGGCGGGGGGGGAGAAAGGCGAGAAGGAGGAGGAGGAGGAGGAGGAGGAGGAAGAGGAGGAGGAGAAGGGGATGGTGGCCTTCGTATCACGACGGATGAGGATGAGAACGTGGTGGATATATATTCCCTGGAGATGAATCCGGTCACAAGGACCGACTTGGGGCTGTTCCCCAGTCTGGAGCTTTGGCCGGCGGATAGGGTTTTTGTCGTTTCCGGTGGAAAGACCCCATCTAGAGGCAGCCTGATGATGGATGACCTCCTGCACTCTGCGGGGATGAAGTATACCCGCGTGGTCGTGCCGCAAGACGACAGCTTGGTTGCTCGGCAGGGGCCGGGAGGCGGTCGGTATCCGGACGGAACAGTCGAGATCCCGCCGCCGACGCCCGACGGCGGCGAGGAGCAGCAGCAGCTGCAGCAGTACCGATCCCGACTTCGCGTCCTGGCGCACGTGGAGCTTTGGGCTATGGCGCTCCGAAAGGACGTGCCGTTCGTCATGATCTTCGACGACGACACCGTCTTCAACCCATCGCCATCGCCATCGCCGTTCAAAGCTCATCTTGAGAAATGCCTTCGGCAGCTCATCTTCCTCGAGCTCCAGCAGAGCGTCCGCTTCCGTCCATCCTTTGATGTCTGCTTGTTGGCCAGATGGCCCCTGGCCGATTTCGGGGAGCCCGATCTGACCGAGGACATCGTCGAGGCCAAGGCCTCCAGAGGAGCGGGGGCTTACATCTTGTCGAGAGAGGGGGCTAGAGAACTCCTCCGGAAGGTGGTAATTAACGGACCCCTAGATGAGGTCATGTGGAGGGTGGCGGGGCTGTCTCTTATACACATCTAGATGTGTATAAGAGACAGGGGCAAAGGGGGAGGACAGCAGGCTGCTGAAGGGACAGATGGGGGGGGTGATGATGTTGGGAGAGGGAGGCGATCCTCCCCCCTTTGGAAATGCCGGCGGATTGGCCTGTCGGCCGACGGGGGCAAGTCGGACTTCAGCGAATGCTGCTGCTGGCAAGTTGATGACGAGCACAAAGAAAAGACGGAAAGGAGGAGGAGGAGGAGGAGTGGATGATGCGAGGAGGGAGAAGGTGATGAGGGAGGAGGAGGAGGAGGAGGAGGAGGAGAATAATAAGAAGAAGAAGAAGAAGGGGGGCGAAGATGTGCAGAAGAAGAGTGGGTGCGACTGGAACAAAGCAGAGAGGAGAAGAACGGCTCTGCTTCTTCGAATCCCGGCTATGGTGGAGGACGGGGATGCCATCAGCAGGTCTGCTGTTATCAGAAATCCTTGTGGCGTATCTGTACCTAGGGGATTAGGGGGGGCGGGGGTGTTCATGCCACCTCCCTCTCCTCCCCGCTGGACTCGTGTTCCCGAAAGCCCCTCGGACTGGCCTCTGTTCGTCATCAACCTCGCGAGCATGGGGGAAAGGATAAAGAGTTTGATGGGATCGCTGGGAAGCCTGGGCTTTCGGCGCGCAGTGAGAGCGGTCGGGATCCCAGCCGGAGATCCAGAGATGGAGGTGTTCAAGGGCAAAGTGAGCGCGGGCAAGGAGGCGCGAACTAGAACCAAGTGGAAGTCCGGCAAACGCTTCCTGTCCCGAGGGGAGGTGGGTTGTGCCCTCTCCCATTACCTGGTCTGGCTCGAGGTCGTTGCCAACGGGATCCCGTTCGCCATGATAGTCGAGGATGATGTCGTCTTCTCTGCGTCTTTCTCCGAAATCTTCAGTCGAGCCATGGCTGAGGTCAGTACTCTACTGCTTCCCCCTCCCCCCTCCCCCC